CAGATGATTTGATCATCAGTGATAGCTGTGTGAAGCGTTTAAAAGAAATAGCCGATGATAGCACATGTTTGAGAATTATCGTAGAAGGTGGTGGTTGCTCTGGATTTCAGTACAAGTTTGATTTAGATCCAAATATACAAGAGGATGACAGGTATGCATTAAAATGTATATATATATATTTTTTTTTGTAAACATACGATTGATAGAAACTCTTTATTTCTTGTGTTATACAGAATATTTCAGAAGGATGGTACTAAGGTAATAATAGACTCAACATCGTTAGAATACGTGAAAGGATCAACGATAGAATTCCATACAGAATTGATACGATCTGCTTTTCGAATAACGAACAATCCTTTAGCCGAACAGGGATGTAGTTGCGGTGCTAGCTTTGCTATTAAAGTAGAATAGATGATGGATGTACATGTTATTATATTGATTAATGACAGTGTGCTGGCTCGTAATTTAGTATTAATTTTGAAACAGTTTACCGAAGATTAATTATACTTTATTTATGATTAATACGCACAAGGCAATACATACAATTGCTTTGGCGAATATACATTAATTTTATCACAACACCTACTATAAACAGTAGCTGTACATATCTCTTACATTTCTTTTAATATAGAAAGAACAGTTTGTTTAATTTACAATTGTAAATGTCAATTTAACTATAAATGGTCTAACTACAATTGTACAAGTGATACCAAAAAGGATTTATGCATCTTTTTTATTAACAAATTTAGATTGTAAAATTTATCCTGTACGAAGTGTTGGTATATTACTGTAAATAAGTATGAGCAAATAAGAATAATCGTTGCACATATACAATATTAGAAGAGTTAAACTTATAACATAAACAACGTTCATAAAAAGAACGTCGTTTCGATGAGTTTTTATTTTGATTTCATAAATAATGTAATATCAAGTTAGAGAGCTCTTTAGCGCTTTTCAGGCTAAAGACACGAGTATGCGCAAAATCAGTGGTTTTCACATATGAGCTAAATATGTACATAAGATTTATCAATGATCCCGATTAAACCATACCACTGAATGGAATGTCAATGATTGTTCTTTGCAATTCTGACCTGGATCACTTCTGTTTCCCCTTTTTACTATTCTGAAAAAAAATACCTTCGATATTAAACGCCGTCATAAAAGACTGTCCCTTACATATTTATATCCTGTGTATCTTTACCTTATTAGCTAGTTCAAATTTCAATTGTTGTATCTCCTCCGTTTGGAAGATAAGTTTCTCATTCATATTGGCAAGATGCTCGCTCATAGTATTGAGTTGTATCTTGTAATTTACCTCCTGCGCATCCTTCTCTTTTTGTATACTGTTATAATTGGAAAGTGTCTCTAACAGGGTCACTTCACACTTCTCTCTCTTTGACTCGCTTGTATCTAACTGCGCGTGCATAACTTCGCTCTAAAACACAAACAAATGTGTGCATCATGTAACGAAAATATAAAAACGTTCAGACAAAATTTAAAGTATGTTTTATTACATTAGCAGCCATAGCTAAGTTCTTAATATGATAGACATGTTTTTCGTTTGTTAATCTTTCAATTTCTTCTAAGAAATAATCCCTAATTTTTAATTCACGAGCTTCGATTTCGTCTGGTATGGCAAAAGGTGCACTCAATTTTCCAATCTGTCAACAAAAACAAGTTGAGACATATAATTTAGTTAAAAATGCGATACATATATGTTTAAAAGGAATGTGGAAATATATTTTAATAATACACACCATATTATTTATTTCCGTAGGTTTTGATGTGTCGTTATTAATTTGTGGAGTTACTGCAGTCTCTCTTTGTTCTAATTCATCATATTTTATCTTGAGTATATGATACTGAGCCTTCCAATGATTGATTTCCTTTTCTAAGTCACATGATTTCGCATAAAGGAATTCATTACTTTCTTCTTGTGACTTTTGCGGCTTTCCTTCCCCAAGCGACTTCGACGATCTACGCGAAGCAGACGGTGAAGAAAACGGCGATGGTTCTGTTTGACGATGATTCGAGAGTATTCCTCTCGTATCAAAATCGAAACCATCACGTCTACCTTCGTTACTAGACCACGACACAGTTTCCTCTTGTTTCTGTCTATCGTTTAGTTTTCTCTGCAAATCATTTCTCTCTCTTTCTAATTTGTCTATAGCGCTTTGATACTGGCACTCTAACTCTACCTTAGATTTCTCACAATAATCGACTTTACATTCCAACTGTTGTATCCTATCATACAAACTTTCAATTTCGCTATCCTTGTCGCTAATCTGGGACAATAATTGAGCATTCTCGACAATCTTTTTCTGAAATTCCTCGTCTAAAATGTTATTCGGTGGTGGTGGTGGTGCTGGAATCTGACTGTTGTTCTCCGACGCTTTGCCCTTACCCTTCTTGGGCTTGTTTTGTGCCTTGTCGAGCTCTTCCTGTAGTACAGTTATACGCTTCGTCAACTGCTGATTGCGAAATGTTAGACTGTCAATCTCCTGCTCAGCCCTACGAAACTCCACCTCCTTTTCCTTCAATTGATTCCGGACATCTGTGTTACGTGCTTGTTCTTCTATCACAGCCTTCTTCAGAACATTTGCTTGCGCACGAATCTGCAAATTGATCATCTTCCTTTAGATACATTAAGTAGTAAACAGATGAAGCAAAAAGCCAATATAAAATCATATATTGGCAGCACGTAAACTCCAACTAACAGTAACATAACATCAATGTTGTAATTTCATACTCAACAATATAAATATAATATAGCACATGTGTACATAACAGTTACATTATTGAGTGTGAAATTATAATATTGATATATCTTTATGTTACTGCTAAACCAATTTTTTTTATTTATCATACGACAAATTTTTCAAGCGTATATTACTCTTAGTTGATGTTTACTGGAAGACATATAAAATCTGTCTTTACGAGAGTCTCACTTTTGAGTATTCCGTGGCGATTTTCTGATACTTGGTCTGCAGCTGACCGTTGGCACCCTCCATACCTTCCTGCCCCAACCTACCTACGCGCTCCCGTTAACGCGTCTCTTCGGGTTCGCCACGGATGTCAATTATTGACACCTGGACATCGTTCACGAGACCTTTGGGTGTTGCGCTCGCGGCGCCGGGACACGCATCGCGCGTTTCCTGGTGATGACGTCGGCGCGCGCGATGTTTATCGACGAGTCAGCACACACACACACACACACACACACACACACACACACACACACGCACGCACGCACGCACACACACACACACACACACCTCCTGATCTGGGAGGTGGAAGGGGGGGGAGCAGATTAATGTTAAGCCGTGATCGGCGAAGCCCCGTAACTTCCCATTAAACGCGCGACGCGGTCGTGGACGCTCTTCTCAGGCGAGGAGCCGTGGGGAGAAGCGTACACGTACTGTAAACGTGCTCTTTAATGAAACGCCCCCGAAACGCGATAATATACGCCCTATCGTGCCATACCATCGAGTCCTGTCTACGTGCGTGCGACGTGAAGTGAACGTCACATCGTCACGATATACCGCCGACCGGACGGAAGCTGGCCGCAAGCGCACGTACTTTCAAACGCGACTCACTCGCGGGGCGGTTCTTGCCGATAGCGTATCGGCCGCGTATCACAAAGCACATTCCCCGTAGCCGAGCATCTCGTTACATACTTCTCGTTTCGTCTCTTTGTCGCACTGACGTCCAATCGCACGCTCCTTCCCGTTTCAAGTGCAGAAGGTATAGCGCGGTGCAGCCGCGAGGAGCAAATTTCTCGCAATGCAAATTTCAACGTACGATAATTGTCGCGCGAGAGATAACAAGATCCAAATAGATTGTCTCTGTCGTCGAGTCTTTATCGCGCAGAGAAGTTGACGTGAATATTTAACTCGTTTTCTGACGAATAAGAATTTCAACGCGTATATAGGTATGAAAATGTTATTTATTGAAGTAATTTGATGCATTTTTTTTTGAAATAGAATTAATGAATCGTCTCTTGTTATTCTTTCCCATAAAAATGCGCAATCTATCACAGTAATAATTTCGCGATATTAAATCAATGAAAATTCAGATTTCTATTCTCTTAACTTTACGTAAAGAATTTTTAGAGATAAGAAAATTCATATCATACAAGTATTTTGCGCTCTGAATTTAATTAGATAACTCAATATTGTGAATTTAATTAATTTCATCGCTACGTTTGATCCGTAAAGAAACTAACGAAGGCAATTTTTGTTGATCGAAGCGACCATCTAGTTTTAGATTCTTATTAAAGAATATAAAAATTAAATAAAAAATTATTATAAAATTATTTAACACTTAAATGATCATCCATTTCGCGATTTATTTGCTTCTCGTGTCACATAAATTTTTAATTTATTTTAAATATTAAATTAAAATTTTTAATATATTTAATAAATCAGATTTTAATAAATGTAATAATAAATGTAAGAAGTTTTAATAATTTTATTTTTTAATTTAATTTAATTTTTGTAATTATATGTTTTTTTTATTAAAATACAAGACATGATGGTAAATAGGCGATTATAATCGAGATGTGACGGTCGATAATGATTGTAAGATGTGGAACAAAATATAGTCCATCGTTAAGAGATGTCGCTACCGACGCAATATTCGAATATTTTCGTACTTCAAGAGTATTCAGTTTCTCCATATTTTTTTCCAATAAAAAAATTATAGGTCCTATTCTAAGGTTGTGTCTTTATATATCGTATTAGTCATAAATTTATGTTCTACAAGAGTTTATTCCAAATAAAAGAAATAAATCATGAGCCGGTATTCGTGTAGTCGCTGATTCTTACTTTAAAATCTGCATTTTATCTTAAAATTCTAATATAATTCTGTTCTTTTTCGTCTGTTTAATAGTAAGTACGGCTTTGTGATCTGTTTATAGCGTAAAATATTACTTAAGGTAATCTTGAAATAAGAATCGACTCAACCGATTATGAATATCGGTTTATATGAGTTAACACTTTAATATTAATTAGCGACTAAAATATATGTGTAAAATAGTTTAACTGTTTCAATAATCAATTATATAATATTTTAAGTATATATAATTTAAAATGACGCGAACCAATCAGAGAGCCCGTATTAAGACATTACTTAAAACGGTCTTAGAATAAGAACAGACTATAATGAATACCACTCTAAATAGATCGCGATCGGCGGTGACAGTTCATGCAACTGCAAAGAAAAACAGTTAGTGGACGCTTCGATTTTTTGGTGCCGAACGTTCCTCGGTCTTTAACCAGTTTATTCGAAATCGATTTTGCCATATATAGCAAAGCGCGCAGCGGATTTTGGTTGCGTATCGAAATGTGCTGATGGCACTTTTGTGATTTGATATGTGTCGTATTCCTTCGGATTCGACAACATGTCGCGCTCGACAACACGTCGCCTCTTAGGTAAAGATTTCATCTATTTTTGATCTTTTACGTAAAATTTTCATCGTTCTAATATCCATTTACATCACATCTCTCGCAGATAATACTCTTTAGTTGATATGTATAAATCGATTAGTTGACAAGATACGCAAAGTAAAGAAAACACATAATCTCTAGCGAGATGCGCAATTGCGCAGAAACGTCAAAGAGCGAGATAAAAATACATGCGCATAAAATTGCATTTCCTCTCGCAAACGCAGAACTCGTGAACTCGGTACCTCTGCGAATACGCTATGATGTGAGTCAAAATGCTACGTTCGTCCAGGCTCTTTCTTTCTTTCACGTTTCTTCGCTCCCTCACCCGCCTCCCCCGTTTATTCGTTTCATTCCCAGCGCGCTTATTATTCCCGGTTTCTTTTGTAGGGAAGATGTACGCGACGTATTTGTCGACGGATACAGCAGGCCTTCCATCGTCCTCCCCCTTGTCTCCTGAACGTGCCGCTATCATAAGGGTGGTATATCCTTCTGCCCTGCCGGAAGTGAGGATCTCTTCAAGAAGGAGTCAGCGACCACGCTGGTAAGTTGAGTTTTTCCTTTCTCTCTCCGTACTTATTTCGCATCTTTGCTGAGATATGTTTACATTATCTTTGCATCAATCGTTGAAGCCTTCCTTAAACGAGGAGTTTTTATCCCATACACATGCTGCATTAAGTAGCCCACCATCGCTTATTAAGCCTATTCTACAATTGTGTAAGCATAGTTTTACGAAAATTAATAATTACACGTGCATTTTTATCAGCCACATCAGTAAAATTATAATACATATTGCAAAAAATTGTATAGGTATTTTAAACTCTATCATGGAAATATAAAAGCTTATATATGTAGACTGTGTTTGCTTTAATGTTCACAATACTTTATGCATTGTTTTAGCCTTGTTGTTTATTAAATACTAAACAAGGATAATTGATGCTCACAAGTGCTGTGAGTGTCAAAGCGAACTCGAAGTTATAATGCAACATTGTAGTCAATCAATATTTTATTACGTCTATAAAGTTATTACATCGATACATTGTATTTTTTTACTTCTTTTTAAGAGTTACTACATTGTATTTTTTACTTCGAACGTAATAATATGAACTGCTTGCAAAAAAATATCTCATATTGAACTTTTTTTCACTTTTTTTTATTCACAATCAATGGAATTTGATTGTACAATATTAACTTGTAATTAATATAATATTTAAAAAATTACAATAATCTTTTTGTAAAATATAAAACTTTATATCTTTGAATATAAATATCGTAAGTTCTATCATATAATATCTATTATATAATATCTCAGTATTTATATATTCATAATAAAAACTGTATTACTATCTTTCTCTAATATTTTCTTTAATATTTTCTTTGTCTACTGTGATTTGTAATTTGATATTCTGTAGTATCAAAATCGTATTTTAGAAGCTTCTGACGTTTATATGACAATTGTTATTAAACGGTCAGTTTTCTGCAAATGTTCCATGAACCAACAGTTTATATTTCAGTTAATTGACTTTAGAATGTTTTTCTGACTGTGTCACACAAAGTTATCTCTGCAAGCAAGTAATTCCATCTAACATTATACTATAAAGGGAGAAATTTAAATACCTTCTTTGGTTACACACGCTGGCTTTTAGTTACGTTTCGCAAAAAGAGCATGTAATGACGTTATGTTCCGAGGAGCGCTTTCGGACGATGTTTAGCGGCGTGATTTTTACTGCGATTAAATTACAAACAGAGTGTGGAAAAAGCCAACTTTCGGAAGCGGTGGAAAGCGACTCAGTGGTACCCGGTATCAGCAAAGTGGTGTCGTTACACGAGAGTTCATGTATCAAGCGGCTGATTGACGAATGAAAGACGCTTCCTGGTGTGTTTCCGCGTTAAAGTATATGTTTTACGGAGTAGAAAACCGCCACCGTTGCCCGACCGCGACATTTCGGCCTCTTTTACTGACATGCGACATCGAGGAATTTAACAGAAGCACTAAAAGAAGCACGTTGAAAGGAGAAAGAAAGTCGCGTGATCCAAAACTCCGAGATAGCAACATGAACGCGGCAAAGAGATGAGCGTCTGAGGGTGGAGTGATACGAGAGTTCGTCTCGAGGGCAAGAAACAGATAGGAAATAGCTGAAACACTTTCTTCCTTACCCCGATCCTTCAGAGAATTTAATCTTTTTACGTTTGTCGCGCGCGTTCAAGCATTCGCGTAAAGATCCGCCCCGTCGTCGTGTGCGTTCGTCGAACAATGCTGTAAAATATCTACCGCCGCGAGAGGAATTTTTGTGACGGTACGAAACTATTGTTCTTCCCGTTTTTGCTCCTTTTTCGAATGTTTTTGCAGTACTTCTAACTGTGTGCATTAATGTTGCACAGTTAGGTGAATCTGCAATATTTTTTATCAAACTCTGCGGAGATGACTCGAAAAAAAAAATGACAACTTCACAACAGTGGAATTCACATAACAGTTTATGATTTGGATTATTCACATTGGTTCTTTTAGTTGTAAATCTTTCGAAGTTGACGGTCTATTGAATCCACTCAATCATAAATAATTCAATTTTTTTAATGTTACATTTACGAACTTGAATTATTCTTGTTAAAATATATTTAGTATTGATTTTTTTAAATATGAAGATAAGATTTTATGTTATATGACTTTATGATATATGATTTTATGTCATTTCAATTCTTTGAAATAAAATCATATGTCATAAATGAGACTTACAATACATACCCAGTGTTAGTAATTGTGTTACAGTTTTTGGTGTCAACTCTAAAATGGTTAAATACATTTGAAATTTT